ATGCTCAGTACAGTTTTCAGAATCAACACGTAAGAAAGGAGAATAAGGAGAAAATCAAGTCCCATGTTGGAAAGCACCATAAAGAGTCCAAAGATGCTATTGATTCTAGTGTTGGAGCAAGAGAGCTTTAAGATGTCGGGGTGCAGGCAGTAGGAGTGAGAAAGTATGTTGGAGCGACAGAAGCACAGCCTCCTCAAGAGGATGGGGAGGGGCACCTGTGCAATCATGGCTCGCATTACAATGGCCAAAGCTATTCTAGCAATCACATTATTGGTGAGTATGGATGAATAGTGCAGTGGACGAGAAATGGCCACATAGCGGTCAAAGGCCATTGCCAGTATGATGGCTGACTCAAAATCCTGGAAGGTGTGTATAAAGAACATTTGGGTGAAGCAAGCAGAAACAGTCAGCTCTCGAGCATCCAGCCAGAAGATCCTCAGCATCGTGGGGAAGGTGAAGAGGGACAGGCCCAGATCAGAGGCAGCTAGCATGGCCAGGAAGAGGTACATAGGCACATGGAGGGTCTGCTCCCTCCAGATAACTGTCATGATGGTCATGTTACCCACCAAGGTAATGAGGAACATGGCACAGAAGGGTATGGAGATCCAGATGTGCACAGCCTCCAGCCCAGGAATGCCTGTCACCAGGAAGGTGGAGAAGAGGGTGGTGGTGCTATTGAGAGGAAGCATGATGCCAGGGCTGCATACGTTTCCTAGAATGAAATGCATTTACTCAGACAAGATGATAAAATTTGACTTGAGCATTTAATTGGCTACTCATCATACCTCTTCTTTTAAGTTGCTCATGATAATGTGTCTAATATGATATTGAATGTTCTTACCCAACATATAACACTTGAGCCATTATACTGGAAAAGAAGACCTTCTTTCTAGGTCAGATTCCCTAGATATTATAGCTTATTGAATGAAAAATAAGAAAAAAACAAAGTCTTGATATTTAATATACCTAAGTCATTTAATTGATATAAAAATATTTTAAAATAAAAAGTCTATAGTGCCTTAAATGAAGTTCTTTTAGAATACATATAAATTCATACTTATGGTAATTACAATAGTAGATCATGACCAGTGTATTTCTAACTGCAGTGGTCAATAAAAATATCGATTAGATAATCCTATTCAAAATGTTGTTCATGGCCAAATTTTAATATGCTTTATTTTCTTCATGAAATGAATATGGAAATGGAAAATAAGCATAGAGAGACTTTCATACAAATTTGATATACTACTCCTCTGCTTTTTTAATGTAATAATAATAATTTCTCTTAATGTAGAATATACAATTATTATTGTATTTGGATGTACGTTTCATTTTTGTAGAAAAATATTTTTGTTTTATTTGAAAAACATATTTCATGATAGATTGAAAAATTTTAATGACCCTTTACCACATAGTTTATGAAGCACTGTTTGATAATAATTCATTGTTGAATGCAAACATATTTTTATGAAAATATATATAAAAAGAAGATTGTTCTTCATAATTAAAAATATTAAAATATTGAATAGATTTTTTAATCTTTTTGAAAAAATATGTTCATTAGCTCTCTTTTAGTTATAGGGCTAAATATTTTTAATTTGAATATGATCTATGGATCTTTTACTAAGTTACATTCTATATGTATATATTTGTATTACAAGTTAATTTCTAATAAGCATATGATGTCAATTTGATTGATTTAATTCAATATATGAGTATTGCCATTTATTCATTAAATATTAATTATGTTTCTCTGTGTGTCTGGCTCTCAACTCTATTTCTCATTATAGCAAACATTTAAGCTAGCTCAGTTAGCTGGTTTAACTGAAGAGGTAAGAAGACTGTAAAATAATCAATTATAATGTACTATAAGTGAGAGGTAAAACAATTTTTATACTGTATGTTTCCAAAGCTTATTTATCCGGGTAAAATCAGCTGTGGATGCAGAGTCTCCTTCCCATAAATAGTAAAAAACATAATTTTTTCTGAGTCTACCCATCAACTGCATTCTGTGTTTATGAAACTAAATAGTGTATTTATATACACTCTTCATATCTGCATGCAATCATCTTCACAAACAATAAGCCATACAAATGTCTGCATATGTTAAGCATTCCAGTTCCTCATCTGTCCTTGCTCGCCAAGGTCAGTCCAAGTATTATTAGCAGGCCTTGGTGAAGATATGCACCTGAAAACTTGTATTTCCTGCACATGGCATACAGACTCCAGTTGTGGTGGCCTGAGTCCCAGCTAGTCCTATTTGAATTCTACCTTAGTCTAAGTTTTGTTCAGGGGAAGATTCTTAGAGAAAGGCAATAATAATAACAATAAAAACAATAACAACAACAATACTTTCCTTTAAAGGCTTTCTGCCTTGGCCTGGTAATTTTAACAAGAATAATTAAGGATCCTGTCTACTTGTTTCTTCTTTCATTTGGTATGTTTTTAAATTTTTCAAAATCTCAATAAGAATCAAATTGAATGAAACTTTCAGAAGAATAAAAAGAGATTAAATAAAATTCTATACATTATTTTAGAAAAAAAGGAAATTGACATTAGCTTCAGAAGATCTATAGGTATTTTTTAATCTTGAATTTTGTTTTAAGGACTGAGAAGGTGGGAGGGGGTCTAGGAGACTCACTCTTTGATAACACTCCTCTGCTTAGTCCAAATCATTTTGTCTTCCAGCCTTAAGGGTTTGGTTCCAGGTTTCTTCTTGATGTGTTTTCTCATTTGTGGGCTTTTAAGCATTTTCAGAATCTATACTCTTTGGTCTCAAAGGTTATTCATGCTTAAGAATGAGGGTAAACTTCATGGTCAGTGTTTCCAAAGGCAAAGAGAGTTCTGTCTTTTTCTAGATCAGGAGTACATTAAGCTCCCTTCCTTTTATTCGGCTCAATACGCTGTCTAAATACCTCAGGTTCTTCAAGAAGATAAGTTGGGGAGAGTTTCACAGAAAGCAACATCTCCTAGACTCCTGTGATTCTTTGTATTACAGGCTAGAGTTTCTCTACCCACTAACATATCCAAAGTCTCCTCGATCTCAGTTCTTTTCCAAAAGCAGGTAAGTCGTGTTTTCTCTCTCACCTGTCATTTCAAGGCAGAGTGTTTGCTAAAGTACTACAGGAAACGTTTTGTCTTCCATGCTCAAAATCAAGGATGCCTGTGATCTGGTTTGTGCTTCCTTGTTATTCATGCAGCTCTCTCTTGAGGATTGTAGTCTCCTGGAAACCACCTTCTTTTCTTAATTTGAAGTCTACCTTTCCTTGCTTTCTAGGAATGCTCCACAAATGGCCTAAGTACTAGATACTTAGTACCAGTCACCTGCCTCAGGTGACTTGAAAATCACTCACTTAGTATTGGTGTCATCACAATTCACTCTAAAGTCAATTTTCAAAACAAAATTTTTGACATTTTGGGATTATACCTATTTTATATAATGTATCTCAGGAATTCTCAAAAGTTTATTGCTTCACAGGCAATCCTTTGAACTCTGTTATTGTTTAATTCATATGATATGTTTCAGATATGAAACACTGTTGCATGTATATAGAAATTCCTTTAGCACTCAAAATGATAAACTATATCTGCTTTCCTTTTATCATTCCCCACTCTATTCACACACACAAACACATATGCACAATACTCACTTTACACAAAAACACACACATACTTGTATGTCAAGGGACCTTTCTTGTTATTTAGTTTCAAATAAAAAAAAATGAACATGGTCTTTTAGGTTAGACAAATTCACATATTCCTTGACATTCCCAGGAGTGGTCAAAATTCAACAAATTTGGCCAGGGATATTGTTATTGTAGCAGTAGATACTCCTAATCGTGATTCATGCATGCTTGGGGATAAAAAAGCACTTTTATGTATCTGTCATTATTTACTTTTTTACACATAAAATGATATTTTTCTCTTCATATCAACCCAGAAAATTATTGTTTTCATTGAACAAACTGAAATTTCATTAACATCTCCATGTAAGATAATTAATATGTAAGCAATCTAGGATTCAAAGATTATTCATGATCCAGAGCATAAATAAGTTTCCTCATTATATATATGTATATATACGTATATATATATATATGTGTATATATATATACACACACACACAGAAAAGAAGGAAAACATGTTCCCATATATGTGATTTTGAAAATGTTAAAGCAGATGAGGCGTTCTAATTAATAGTTTGATCACCTCCAGAAAAGAGTATTTGTTATCATTTTTTATTCTTCTGTTAGAATATAAAACATATCAAGATCTAATGCATAGAGGACATTAAGTAAATGTTATATCAATGTTTACAAATCCAAAAATATATCATTTATTCAAAATAGGTACTGAACAAATCTGTGTATTAATAATTTTATCTGTACTTGAGATACAAAAGTGAACAATGACCATATAAAATAGTACTTCAGAATTCATCAATAAATTTAACCTTTCAGGACCTTTGGGAATAACTAAAAATTATATAGAATTTCAGATTTGGACCAGACAACTCACACCATCCAAATTTGCCTTTACTAAATGCAAAAATTCTAACACTTAAAAAAAAAATACCAAACTTTTCTTAGCATTGTCTCTTTTTCCCATAAGAGTCTGGTTGTGGAAGAGAGTTCTTTCTCCAAAATGTTCCATCTGCCAAGAATTTCATATTTGTTGAACCTGTGATTTAGATAACCACTAATTCACTGAGGACCCAAGACACTAGTTTCACAGCAATTTAATTTCCCAAGTCTTATCAGATATTCATTGGTTTTTCTTAAGTCAAGTATGTGGCCCCTCCGTGAGAGATTTATATATCTTACTAGTAGGTGTACTATAACTCTAATCTATGAGATTATCTTTCTAAATCACATAATTATATCAAACATAATTTATAATTATATTGGTGTCTTTGAGAGACTCTCAATATAAGTTACCTATTTGAGAAGTATCTTAAATAAAAGGAAGAAAAGTGTGGCTTTTTAACCCTTTGCACTCGGATGTCGAGTGTGGATAATGTCGAGTGGATAATGAGAAAAAAGCAAGTGAGTGCAAAGGGTTAAATTGAATGAGTAAACTTCATTAAAAAATTCATATTCCATTATTAGACTAGATTATTAGACTGCCTATATTCATAGTCAAATCTTTACAGAGAAGTTTAGAACAGCTCATGAAAATATTATCTAGTACTTCCACATATAGATGGGAACAAAAGCCACTCTGGAATAGCACACAGCCCTAACTGGATTATTCCTTCCTGTGTCCCCTAAGAAACAAAGCTTAAGATGCTGGGAAAATGAAAAGAACCACTGTTGTCTTTAGTATGTAAGGAAAGAAATATTGAAAATTGGGAAATAAAATAACATTTTTAAAAAATATCCTAACCTTTGGAAAGGGACATAAAAATATCCCAAGGCACTTAAGATCTCATAGAAGTGGGGTGGGGGAGCCAAGATCACTGAGAGGGTCCAATTCCCAAAACCTAGTGACTTAGTGACTACCTGGCATTGATGATAAATTAGAAGAACAGAGATGTTCCAACTCCCTACTCTGCTTCCTACCACTAGGGTGTCAAGTTTCAATTAATAAGTAAATGCAGTCTATTATTAAGGATAGGAGTCAAGAGTTCATTCTCTGAGGCCCGGGCATTAAAGGAAGATTTACGTTGAAAATTGAGCAAACATTAAGGAAAACTGTCTGGTGAACCAACACAGACTCTAAACATAAGGTAGCCCTACTGGAACTTAAAGCCTGTGGAGCACTGAAGGCAAACATAGTAGCACCATAATCTAAATCCAGCTCATCTTTTAACAAGATTGACTAAACCCCCATACTAAAAACAAAGTAAAAGAAGAGTCATAAACATCTTATAGTATAAATACTGTTTAACTAAGTCTGTTATCCAGTATAAGTTTATGACATTCAACAAATAATTATGAGATGTACAAAGAAGAAATAAATAAACAGTACCCTGTATGTGACACACCCATCAAAAAAACCAAATGCAGTTATGAGACAGTGCTGGAATTACCATTCAGGGAATTTTTAAATAACTATGATTAACAGGGTAGAGACTCTAGCCAAAAAGGTGTAAAACAAGTGTAAGCAAATGGATAATTTCAGCAGAAAGAAGTAAATAAAAAGAAAAAAATAAAAAAAATATTAATACAATAAGTATAAATGTGTTATCTGAGATGAATAATGATTTCAATGAGCTAACCTACAGAATCGCCAAAGCAAAAGAAAGAATAATTGAACATGAAAAATAGATGAATCAAAATTACTCAAACTAAAGAAGAAAGAGTGAAGAGAGGAGATACAATAAAAATAATATACAACATTCAAGATTTGTGAGATGTGGCACACAATCAAATAGCCTAACACACAGGTAACTGGAATTGCAAAAGTAAAAGAGAGAATGGGTATAAACACACACACACACACACACACACACACACACACACATGCATTGAGAGAGAGGCAGAGAGAGAGAGAATGGTTAAGAATTTTCTATTGTTAATGAGATACACCAAGTGCCAGATCCAAAAGTTTGGAAAATACCCAACTGACTAACTAAACACATACATATGTGCATACTCACATACATACCTCATATATAATGCTCAAATTTCTAAAAACGAAAAGGAAAGAGAGAATGCTGACAGCAGCCACAGGGTAGAAAATGGCACATTTCATATAGAAAAACATAAAATAAAAGCTACAACAGTGTTTCACAAATAGTATGCAAGCTAAAGTACAATGGAATGATAAATTTAAATTGTTGCTTTTTGGCAAACTGTCAACCCAGATTTCTGTGCCCATTATTGCTTTTAGAATGGTGCAGTTTAGAAAATAAACTGACAATTCAGTTTGGGACAAAATATTTGTACAAGTATCCCCAAACTGGAAAGACAAATACCACATGTACTCACCATTAAATTGGCACTAATTGATCAAAACTTATGTGCACATATGGAAGCAACATTCATCAAGTGTTGGATAGGTGGGAGTTGGGGGGGGATAGGTAAACTCACTTAATGGGTGAGGTGCATGCTTTCTGGGGGATGGGCACACTTGTAGCTTTCACCTGGGTGGTGCAAGAGCAATTTATGTAACCAAAGCATTGTATTCTCTTAATACTCTGAAATAAAAAAAAGTAAAATAATAACCTCCCCTCTCCCAAAAATGAAGTCTCACAAGAACCTATAACAACTCTCACACTGATATGACATAGCAGTTCTACTCATAGGTATTCAACCAACCAAAATAAAAACATATCCACATATATATATATATATATATATATATATTATATATATATATATATCTGTTAACTCAATGTTTGACTTGGATTCATAATTCCAAAAATTCAAAGCAACCCACATATGTGTCACTTAGTTCATGGATAAACAAATCATGGGGTAGCCACAGATCTTTTTGCAACTTGGTCGTAAAAATCAATGAATTTATTATATATGCGACAACATGGATGACTCTCAAGAGGATAATGCTAAGTGAATGAATCAAAACACAAACAGATATATACTATATAATTACATGGTTATGACTTTCTTTAAAAGCTAAATCTGTAGGTTCAGAAATCAGAAAAGTGGTTCCCAGAGCCTAGAGAAATTGGGAGGAAAGAGTTTTCTTCAGAACAGCCCATGGGACATTTTGGGAGTGATTAAAATATCTACATTCTTATTTTAGTGGTGTTTATGTAAAGATATATATACCTATTTGTTAGAACTAATAAAATTGTGCACCTAAAAATGGTGAGATTAATAATATTTCAGTTAAACCTTAAAACTGATCCCTGAAAAAAGATAAATAACTTTGAGTTTTACCATCTAGGATTCTCCATATTATCTTTAGATACAAAACATTTCATCACAATGGAGGCTGAAACAGTACAAAGATATAAAGAAAAGAAATGGGGGCGGGTATATACATACATAATGAGTGAGATGTGCACCATCTGTGGGATGGTCATGCTGGAGACTCAGACTTGTGGGGGGAGGGGGAGAAAGAGAATTTATTGAAACCTTAAAATCTGTACCCCCACAATATGCCAAAATAAAAAAAAATTAAGAAAAAAAAAGAAAAGAAAAGAAATGGTTTTGAGGGCTATTGTGAATGGTGGCTCTGTTTTAGAAGTTTAGATTTAATAATGTTCCTCTACCAAGTCTCGTTCATGGACTATATTTTTGAAAAATAATCAGCTTCTTTCTATTTTACAATATGAAGGTAGACCTGAGTTAGGATTGACTCTAAAACTATCTGTTAGAATGCTTTGAAATGCTCAGTTAGCCAATTTACAAATAAAATGCACAAATGTCCACCAATTAATAAAAAAAATTCTCATCCTCATTAATAATCAATATAACAATGTGGATTAAAAAAATGCATACTTTTTGTTTGAATTTTGTTAGAAAATTTAAGATTGGCAAGTGTGAAAGAAAAACAGACGAATCTTTATCTCTTTGTGGATATAAACCTATTTAACATTTTTGAAAGGAAGTTTGGCAGCAATTAATTATATAAAATGAATATACTTTGGTCAGCAATTTGAGCTTTCTCTCTGATAGAAGCACACTCACATGAGCACAAATGGAAATATTAAAAAAATCAAAAAACTCATTAGAAGGACAATGAATACATTATATTACATTCCCATTATACAGGATAAAGTAGCTTTTGAAAATTGAGAGGATCAATTTTTGTATTGCCACGAAAAAACTCCTTTGATAAATTCTTCAGAGAAAAACACCAAGTAGAGAATGATAGTCTGATGTAATATACTAAGTTATCTTAATATTTTTCATTTTCTATTCAGAAAGATAAATTAAGGCACAATTTCATTATGTTACATATGGGGAAAAGAACTGGTATCTTTGTCCCCCAAATGACATGAAACAGTTCTGTATATTTTACATTTTGACAACATGTTTGCACGTATTTGTGTTAAATACTTTTAAAGTTATTTTATTTGTTAAATAGCTTAATACTTTCTAAAAAGTTTATCTTATCTAAGTATAGTTCCTATTTATGTTTTCATTCTAGCTTGCTTTTCATACAATAAAGGAAGAAATCCTTCAGACCCACTATGTTCTGATGAAAGGATAGTCATTTGTCTCTACTGTATAAAAGGACACTCTAAGATGTATAATGACTAAGATATGCTTGCTCCTTTCTCAGATTCCTTGGGACAAAAGTGTATTTAAGCTTCTTGGCTATGATAGTTGAGAATTCCCAAGGCTGTTTTAATCTCAGTGGAACTTTCCAGGCACCTGGGAGATCCTCTTTTGTTGGTCTGTGAAGCATCTTAAACCAAGTCCTAGAACACTGAGCTGAGGAGTTTGTCTTACAAGGAAACAAGGGTCCTGCCAACAAGGTACATTTGAAAGTGAAAAAGCCATTCCTTTTGCAGTGAGTGAAGTATTTTGGAGATAAATAATAGCAACCATTGTAACCCTGAGAAAGTCCATTCAAGGAAATTGGTGTAATAATAACCAGTTTCCCAGGCTAAAAGGACTAACACAGATGTTCAGTGTTGTTGAGTTAGGATGTGTGAGATTTGGAGATTAAATTATTTGAAGAGTAATAATATTTTAAAGCTAAATGGTCAATTTTATACGTATTCTCTTCTAAGTAGTACTTATTATATTAATCAACAATTTAAAGACTGTTAATACTATAGGTGCATATTGTGCTTACATAGCTAAATTTCAGATTGCCAAATTTAATGGATTGTGTTTTTTGTTTCAATAGCTTTTCCTTGAGTCCTGAAACCAGCATATCATAAATATACTTTGCAAACATGCATTAGATTTGAGTAAATTAGCATGTTCTGTTATTAGGTGAAGAACTATGAAGAATATCATATGCTTTTGCAAAGTTGGAGAGGTTTTCTTAATCTTTTCCCATTAAACAAAAGAATTTTACACAATATAAACCTTGAGCTTATGCCTACTAGTACTGTTTGTCATCTCATTTACAAATTTCAAGATATTCAATGGGAGTTTGTGTTTTGGAACTATGACCATTCAAAATCAAATGTAAATTGTCAGATTAAAAAAGTATAGAATTGACCTGGGTGAGGAACTTTTCAGCTAGTATTCTAAGACTACTTCAACCTTGAATTAGTAATACTAGATGGCTATATTTTTAATGCACATTCTCATTAAGGTCGCTACAATTTTACATATATTCCTTTATATACGAAATATATTTGCCTTTCTCCACCTGATGCTTCTCAGAATTCTTCTTAAATTCCAACTTATCAATGAAGCTTTCCCTTATATTCTGAAGTTAAAATATGTAGAGTGGTCAAAATACAGATATAAATTTGGTCTGTACCTCTGATCAGATATTAATACAGTAACTTTTGTAAGTGGTAAAGCCAATTTTCAAGCCATAACAATTAGATGTTCTTTCATAGTGCTGTTTTATTTCCCACTCATGTTTGAGTCTCCAGTGCTTAGAATGGTGCCTGACACAAACAAGGTTCTCATTAAAAACTGCAAAATTGACAGAAGCTGGCATAATATAACATAAACTAAAAGGAGAAGCAGGAGAAATAGTGGAAATAGTACTTTCCTTCCAGCCAGCAGATAACACAAAAATGAGTGTAAAGCTAGGTCTTTGCCTTTACCAAAAAAAAAAAAAAAAGCAATGCTAATAAGGCTAGAATCAAAGCCATTATATTCAATTTGATGCTTGAAACTAATGACTAAAGTTATGGTTAAAGCAAGAAACTTCATGCTGTTAACTAAGAGGGAAGCATAACTGATATATGTATATATGAATGAGTGTGAGTTTATATGTGTGTGCATATGTATATATATTCTTACATGTAAGTGCAGGGCATTTTTATATCAAGATTTGTTATGTGGTTTTAACCTACCTCTGCTGGGGTACTGTCACTTGAAGTATAGCGGAGAACCTTTAGTAAATCAAAATGAGTGACACCTTTTTAAAAATTTGTGTAAGAACTTGTCTTCTGGTTGGACTTTGAGGGAGAAAAATGCACATACATACAGGCCTATATAAATATGCACACAATTGTTAATATAATACACTCAATATCCATATGTTATTTAGCTGTATATTATTTTATATTTAATATTTTTATATATTACTTAATCTGTTCACTCTTAGAAATTCAAGTACTAGGATCCAGTAAATAAGTACTGACTTCACCACTAATATATGAAAATGGGCCAGGCACCAAAGTGCTCTTTAAATAATTTCTCCTAAAACTTTTCTTCCTTCCTTCCTTCTACTTCCATCTTCCTCCCTGCTTCCATTCCTTTCTTCCCTTCTTCTTTACCCTAATATTGCCATTTGTTTCTGACTTTCTTGATATGTTGGTTTATTTATGCTGTCCCATTCCATTTTCTAACGAATATTTAAGCTACTATTTTTCACCAGAGACATTGACTTCATAAAATGTGATCTTACGTTTTTATAATGCTGTCAAAATATAAATAATGCATAAAATAGCTAAGATAAATAGATAAGGAGATATTTATACACTTTATAAAAATTGTATGTATATAATTTTGCATATATTTATATAATTTATATAATATGAAAAAATAATCTATTGTTTTTATACATGATTTTAGTAAAATCATACACATGGTTTTAATATGAAATCTTGGACTATACAATATGAGATTTTACTATTTTACAAAAATATTTTCTATTTTCTTAATGATTAGTGGTTTTCCCTATGAAGATAATATGAGATTTCATTTTATTTTATTTTATTATTTTTTATTTAGTATTTTTTTTATCAATATTATGGGGGGTGCAAATATTGGTTAGGGTTACATATATTGCCCTTGCCATTCCTCCCCTACCCCCCCCCCCCCCGCCGCCTTACAAAACATCGTGTGTCCTACCCCCAGGTGGTGCGCATCACACCTATTTTGTAAGTATAAATTCTTCCCCTCCGCCCACTCCTGTCTGCCCACCACCCAATAAAAGTTGTGGTTTTTTTTCTTTTTTTGACCTTTGGGTTACATTGTATATCTTTGCCTTTCCCTAGGAAGGGTTAGAGGTATTCCCTCCACCCCCCCATGCTCACCACAACCCTAAGATGTGTATCTCCCCCTCCCCCAAACCCTGGTGAGCACTATCACCATTTGAGCACCATAGTTTAATCAGTCAGTACCAATTTGATGGAGAGTAGATATGGAGCCCGTTTTCTTGATCTTGTGTCACCTCACTTTGGATAATGGGCTTAAACTTGATGCAGGATAGCATAAACGGTGCTAGCTCACTGTCGTTTCTTAGAATTGAGTAGTATTCCATTGTGAGCATTTACCAAATTTTAATTATCCACTCATGAATTGACAGACACCTGGGTTGTTTCCATGATCTTGCAATAGTGAATTCTACTGCCATAAACATTCGGGTGCAGATGTCTTTGTAGTAGAATTGTCTTATGTTCTTTTGGGTAGATGCCCAACAATGCTATAGCTGGGTCTAATGTTATTTCTGTATCTAGCTGTTTGAGGTATCTCCAAATTCTTTTCCACAGAGGTTGCACTAATTTGCAGTCCTACCAACAGAGATTTCATTTTATTATTCCTACAATTCACTTAAGTACATATTTGTATTGAAATGAATACTATGAAAGCTCAGAAACAAATGCTAATTTATTAACTTTTAGGCAGTGTGCTATGTGCTTTTGTTCTCTTATCTGATGAATTAATCTTCACAGCAATATTTAAATGTAGTACTATATTAAATGTAGTAGTATTACAAACTTATTTAAAAGAAAATGGGATTTTGTGCAATCAGGTAACTTATTTCAATCATTCTTAACTAAGTCAATCATTCACCTGTACAAAAATCATTTGTTGCTGGGTAATGATAACAGCGTGATAAGTTCATATTTAACTTTAAAACAAACTGTCAAATCTGTTTTCAAATCAGGCAGTATAATTTTGTATTTCATCCTCAATGAACAGGTATATCTTATTTTACTGTGCTTTGCTTCATTGTGGTTAAGAGATATTGCATTTTTTTTATAAATGGAAGGTTTGTGGTAACTCTGTTTCAAGCAAATCTAGGGGCACCATTTTTCAAACAGCATGACCTGACTTCATGTCTCTGTGTTACGTTTGGTAATTCTCACAATGTTTCAACTTTTTCATTGTTATTATGTCTGTTGTGGTGATTTGTGATCAGTATCTTTGATGTTGCTATTGTAATTGCTTTGGGTCACCACAAACCACAATCATATAAGGTGGCAAACTTATTAGATAAAGTCATGTATGTTCTGCTCCACCAACCAGCCATTCCCCCGTCTCTCTCTCTCTCCATGGGCTTCCCTGTTCCCTGAAATACAACAATATTGAAATTATTGTTAGAAATTAATAACCCTACAATGTCTTTAAGTGTTCATGGAAAAGGATGAGTTACATATCTCTCACCTTAATCAAAGTATAAAATGATTCAGTTTGTTGAAGATTGGTGTCAAAAGTCAAAATAGCCAAGCCGGTCATTTGCACCAGACAGTTAGCCAAGTTGTGAAGGCAAAACAAATGTTCTTGAAGAAAATTTAAAAGTGCTACTCTAGTGAACAGTGAATGATAAGAAAGCAAAACAGTCTTATTGCTGACACGGAAAGTTTTAGTGGTCTGGTTAGGTCAAACCAGCCACAACATTCCCTTAAGCCAAAGCTTCATTCACAGCAAGGCCCTAACTCTCTTCAATTCTATGAAGACTGAGAGAAATAAAGAAAAGTATGAAGTTAGCAGAGGGGTTCAAGGCTGCCATGTAGGATATAACTAAAGATGTGATAGAAATGGCAAGAGAACTAGAATTAGAAGTAGAACGTTAATATGTGTCTGAATTGCCGCAGTCTTATGATAAAACTTGAATGGATGAAGAGTTGCTTCTTATGGATCAGCAAACAAAGTACTTTCTTGAGGAGGAAACTACTCAATGGTGTGAACTTTGCTGAAATGTAAACAAAAGATTTGGAATATTACACGAACTTAGTTAATAAAGCAGAAGCACGATTTTAGAAGATTGACTCCAATTTTGAAAGAAGTTTTACAGTGGGTAAAATCCTACCAAGCAACATTGTATGGTACAGAGAAATTTGTCATGAAAGGAAAATTCAACTGATATGGTGAACTTCATTGTTGTATTATTTGAAGAAATTGCTACAGCCATCCTAACCTTTAGCAATCACTACCCCAATCAGCCATTAGCAAAACCCTTTACCAGCAGAAATGCATAACTTACTGAAGGCTCAAATGATCATTAGCAGTTTTTAGCAGTAGAGTATTTTAAATTAATGTATGTGCCTTATCTTTTAGACACAATGCTAGTGCACACTTAATAGATTAAAATATAATGTAAATGTAACTTTTATATGCCCTATGAAACCAAAAAATCTGTGTTACTCATTTTATTGTGACATACAGTTAATTGCAGTGGTCTAGATTCAGACCTGCATTATCTCTGAGTTATGTCTGTGTGAGATTTCCAGTTGTCCCACATCCTCACCAAAACCTGATATGTTCAGTCTTTTTAAATTCTAGCCATTCTAATGGCATCTTATTGTAGTTCCCAGTTATATTTTTCTACTGAATAATGATGTTGAACCTCTTGTCATGTACTTAGTTGCTGTTCATATGTCAACAGAAACTATTATAAAATTAAAAGTATAAACTCAATTTTGAGTTCTCCACACCCTAATTGTATAACTCTAAGTATGAACAAAATTTTTACTTCTAATTTTGTTTACAACTTCTCTGACATTCAACTTTTCTTTTATAGGTTTGCAAGCGTCCTGGACTAAAGCCCCACCTACATCTCACCATGTTGGCATTTAATGACACCTTTTCTAATTGGCCCACTTTTTCCTTCATTGGTATTCCTGGTCTGGAGATTGCACATATATGGATCTCTATCCCCTTCTGTCTCCTGTACCTGGTGGCCATTGTGGGGAATGCTCTTCTCCTCATCCTAGTTAGAGCAGAACAGAATCTGCATGAGCCCCAGTTCTATTTTTTGGCCGTGCTAGCCCTTACTGACCTAGGCCTTTCATTGTCCACAATGCCCAGTGTCTTGGCCATCTTCTGGTTCGATATCCACCACATCGGCCTGGATGCCTGCCTGACCCAAATGTTCTTCATCCATACTCTCTCCTCAGTAGAGTCAGGTGTCCTGGTAGTCATGGCTTTTGACCGCTTGGTTGCCATCTGTGCTCCACTAGACTACCCCAGGATCCTAACTCGCCATACTGTAGTCTGCCTTAGTGGAGCTGCCTTCCTACGGGGTGCGACTCTCCTGGCCCCTCTGCCTTTTTTCCTCAGGACCTTTCCTTTCTGTGGGGCCAACATCCTCTCACACTCTTATTGTTACTACCCAGATATGCTGAACCTGGCCTGTGGGGATGTCACTTTCAGCAGCATCTATGGATTGGTCTGTGTGCTGTGCACATTTGCAGTGGATGTTGTCTTCATCCTAGCTTCATACATAAAGATTCTGAGTGCTATTATGAAATTGGGGATCCACAACAGAAACTGGAGATCACTGCACACCTGTATCTGTCACCTGTGCATCGTGCTTGTGTTTTACCTGCCCCTCATCAGCCTTGCAGTACTACATCGTTACACTCAGGAAACGTCCCCAATTTTATACACCACAATGAGCAATGCCTACCTCCTCATGACACCACTGCTAAACCCTGTTGTCTACAGTCTCAAATCCCGGCAAATCCAGGCTGCCTTGCGTAAACGATTTTGGGTACAACGTGTGGTTGCTGGAGAATGAGATTTTCTATATATTAAAAGGTGGAATCAATTGTAAAAGTGCTATTCAGGATCTACTATGTGTCGAGTAGTATGGTAGGCACTATGAATGTTAAAATGAAAAAAATGCTCAGGTCCTTTCCTCAAGAAGCACATGATCTAAGGAAGAAAAGAGAATTAAGCTGAATGCTTAAGTATGTGATCATGAAAGATGGTTGCTTGGTAGCAATAAGGAGAAATGGCAACAGGAGACCAAACTCAGTACTGCTGGTGTCCAAGTTGGATGAAAATCACATTACCCCAGCTGCTAAGTTGAGAGGTCTGATTCTAAACTGTAAAGGATCAACGAAGTACTGATTTTATAAAGAAACTAAGACTTGACCTCACCTGATTCTTGATTTCCAATATTGCTTAGGTTGGGGCATTAACAATTCAAGATTGATAATAAATTTATAACTATATGTTTGATATTTCTGTTTCTTATACTTGGATATTGGGTGATATACTGAGCATTCTTAATATTAACAAAATATAAAGGAGTTGTCTGAAAAGAAATAATATATAAGGATCCAAGAAATAGTTATTCTTACCCAACTTGTTTTTTCATTCAGAATTCATATTTCATTCAGATTTTGTTTTGTTTTCAATTTTATATTGGGAATAGATATGGTTATATGCTTACTTCTGAAACAAGAATACATCTCCTTTCTTTAACTTTGCAAAAAGAAAAAAATAGATTAGTTTGCTTTCTTTGGGGGCCAAGTCTTTAAAATTTAGAGTCATTAGCAAATGAAGAATTGTCCTGCTGAGATCAAGTTTGGAGACAAATGAAAGACAAAGACTTAACTGCTCATGTTAATAAATAAATATGTGATAGCATTAGCAAGAATTTGAAGCTGTTTTAAGAAAGTTCTGAAGGAATTCCTAAATTCCTTCCTCAAGTAATCAATCAGAAAAATATCATTAAAATCTTTCTGACACATTTAGTAAGCATCAGAGTAATACAGAAGACATAATTATAATATTCACAAAGCTTACATTTTACTATTGGAAATCATAGAACAGCATCAAACTGTAATGGAATATAGTCAGTGGGATTGAGGCTTGGTTTGAATTGCATATGAATGTAAAGGCAAGTAAGACAGAGAGGGATGGAACCATTAAGTATTTCCTGGAAGACTGAAATGTCCATGAACAAAAATTGTGAAAGCTTGAAATCTGTCTCAATTTCAAAAGCAAGCGCTTAGCTGTAATCTATTGGCTATTAACAGGATGGAGGGAATTATTTTTTTTAAAGTATGTTTTTTGCTCTCAGTGATATATCATTTCAGAAGTATAGTGAACACTCTCAAAAAATAAAATAAAATTCTGGCTCTTAAACAGTTTCCATCTTTTAAGGACCAATTTAATTATTATTTTTTAGGTTGAGTCTTTCTGATCAGTGGCCCCTTGATGATTTCTCCAAGGATCACTATAAAGAACTGGGGAGCACTACTAGGGAATTGTTCTGTTTTTTGAAGACAGCAGACAATTTTCCTTTGAGGAACTCCTCACTTCTCTAGTATAGTTTGGGAGAGACCAATAGTAATATTCTAATAAATCTCTCCCAGATTTTTCAGCTACAGGGATTAAAAACTGAATAAACTATTTCTCCCTTATGTTTTACAGTAGAACTATTTTTTTATGCTAGAACTCAAAAGATTTCCCTTTCTATTTGTATTATACCACTAGGAAGATACCAAACCACTTACAACCATCATCTTTTCTAGTTGCATGGAAGCTAATACCTATTTAAATTATGAGACAAAAGAGAAGCAAATAGGAGAAACTACTTCAGAAAAGAAAAAGAGACAAAATAGTATTGAATTCTTAATACTATATTTGGGTCCCTGAAATAATTCTTTTCATTCTGAGACCAAGTTTGGTATTTTAATTTGCATTTCTTTACTTATAAATGAAATAAGGAAGCAGCTTAGGAGATCTGTTTAGGAGAATTGTATCATTTATTTAATTTCACCTCAAATAAAATAAACACATTTTTTATCTCACTCAGTAGGCAATAATTCCCTAATTGGTAGCATTTTTGTCTGACTCAATGTCTACAAAAAAGGGCATGTCGTTAATGCTCAGAATAGTTGCATAAAGATATAAAAGAAGGGGGAATGAAAAAATGTGAGAAACAAAGACCAAAGGTGAATAATACCTAAATTTAATACCTATATAGCTTGATTAAAATGTATAGAATAATAGTGTTTGGCTCTGCCTTGTAACAGTTAATTTGGGGGCATCATCAGTGTTTATGAAGAATGTGATGTGTGTCCCTGATCTTCAGTGACAATGTTGAACAGATATATAAGATACACAGTTACAAAATGGGTAAACCAAGTCTGAACCTTTTTACATATTTTGAAATACACACATTTTAGGAAAAAAATTTCACAAGGACACTCTAAATATATTTTTGAATTGCAGAAAAATCATTATTATCTGCTAACCTTATATCTGAGTGACTAGAGACATTGTTTTGTACTTATGCTGACTTGGCCCTTGTTCTTTACCATATTTTTGGCTTATGATAAAAAGTTTAATATTTATTGAGCCTTTACTGTATGCCGGACATTGTTATAAACACGTCACATAAATTATCACAGTTCTTATTACAAAATGCTTAGAAAACAGATATCATTATAAACTCCTTTTCACTGATGGCTACACTGAGGCACACAGATTCTGGATCACTATTTTTTCCCAGACAACATAGAAGAGAAGTATCAGAGTCTTGTTTTTAGTTTAATCAGTGCATGCTTATCTTCAAATTAAAACCCAGTTTAATACAATGAGAAAATCAAATATTTATTACTTATATGGTAAATTTTAGATGCACTGCTTATATTTCTGCCTTAATCTCTCACTTAATTTTTATGTTAGATGGGGCTTAGACTGTGATTATTTTATAGTAAGAACTGTAAAATGTAAACAGATTTAAATAAAAATTATGAAAAAGCTCCCTTTTTTCTTTCTTTTGAAATATCTTCCCCTACAATATTTCAACTTCCCAATAGTAATGTCTATATAACAATATAAATATGTTATCTTAAATCAGATTTTATTCATATAGCTATAAATGAAGGGTTATCATGTAGGAAATTTTTGTAGGACTATTTGGATTGAAATGGGGACCTATAGGTATGTGGTATGAAATCTAGAAATAAGAAACATAAAGGCCTATAAATATTTTTCCTGATCTAATGCTGGAAGAGAATCTCCTATTTTCAAAAGGTAGTAGTAAAACTATGTGGAGATGTACCAAAGGAACTACTTCAGCACATAGGAAAATAATGTCTGTTCCTCCTTTTTTTTTCTTGAAATTTCCAGTACCTTTGAATCAGTTCCTCCAAGAGATCCACGCTTTCTTTCATGCTACCTTAAGTGCAAACAATCTACACAGCACACTCCTGATTTGTTTTGTTTTCACACTGTAAACCAATGGGTTGAGGACCTGTGTGAGGAAGAGGAAAATATTGGACATGGTGACATGTGGCAGAGGGGAGTGGTACTTGCCTATCCTGTGGATTAGAGCTAAGGCAATAAGTGGAACATAGAAAATGAGGACAGTGAGAATATGGGAGACGCAAGTGTTGAGTGCCTTTAGACGTCCCTCCCTGGAAGCAATGCCCAGGACCGTCCTCAGGATCAGAGCATAAGACAGAACAATAAAGACAGAGTCAACACCAAAGGAACAGAGGACCAAAGCCAGCCCATAGATGATATTGACGCGAATAGACCCACAAGCTAGCTTCATCACATCAGGATGGAAGCAGAAAGAGTGAGACAAGATGATGTTTTTACAGAAAGGAAGCCGTTTGAGCAGGATGGGTAAGGGGGCCATCAATGCCACACCCCGAGCCATAGCAGCTAGCCCCATCTGAGCAATGCAGGAGTGGGTCAGGATCGCAGTATAGCGCAGTGGGTTGCAAATTGCCATGAAGCGGTCAAAGGCCATGATCAGCAGGATGGCTGACTCCATGGACGAGAAGGTGTGGATAAAGAACATCTGTACCAAGCAGCCATGGAACGCAATCTCTCGGTGGTTGAGAAGAAAGACATTAAGTACAGTGGGCAGTGTAGAGGCTGACATGCCTGTGTCCGTCGCTGCCAACATGGACAAGAATATATATTGAGGCTCGTGAAGGCTGGGATTCTTGTATATTATGTGAATGATGATGCTGTTCCCCAAGATGGCAATCACATACATGATGCTCAATGGGATGGAGATCCAGACATGAGCATCCTCCAGCCCTGGAATTCCTGAAAGAAGGAAGAAGGGTGGCTGGTAGTGGCTGCCATTGAGCACAGGCATGGTGATTAAGCCTAAATAAAAAGACACGGGTGGGAACATCAAGCAGTAAAGTTAATTCAAGTTCATGCAACAGTTAAATAAAGTCAAGAGGTGTGGAGACAAACTAAAATATCTGTTGTATGCAGAGAAAATTGAATAGAATTAAAATCAATTTAATTAAAAAGCCCATATAGATAAATTTTAGGTGATTTATAACCACTATCTTGTATGTAATTTTGAAGATGTAATGGTAACCACCAAATACATTAGTGGATAAACTATGCCAAAGGATTTTGAACAGATGGCTCAAAGAACAAATTAACATTCACAAATCACATAGTTAATTTATTCAATTTAAAACACTCAGTGAGAACCAGAGCAAAAGAGAGTATATTAGTTAAAACGCTTAGAATAATGTGCAAGTGGATAGGATGACCCACAGTATCTAAATCCTGGATTGTGCAAAATCCATAGGTTCTGTCTTTGTCCTGATGGTGTGGTTAGAAGCACTAGAGTTGAGGTTAGAACAAGAGAATCACAGCAAGGAACCTGGACCCAACATTCACACTTGCGCTATCAGGCACAGAGCATTATGTATGGATGGCCACAGCTCTAATTCATCAATAAGATTGCTGAACACCTATGAGTTTTACCTGTATTTCTTGTGCTAAAAACATGTGGAGTCAGAATAAAACCACAATGGGTGTCATTAACAGGCAACTTATGTAGTATACCATAGCTGTCATCTTAGATGTGGTATTATCATACTTCAGGACTTTTTTTCCAACTCTTTATATATTTATACATAAAACCACATGAATTTTCTAGAAATAGAAGTAGAATACCTAAATGAAAGAAACAATAAGATTGATACAAACAACATTGATAAAGGAGAAATAAAGAGTAGAAATTACTTGTGACCCAGAACTCTTTTATGTAAGTACAATGAGAGACAGAATGGAAAGTTAAGAAACATAGAGTTACCAGATATTTATTGAACACTAAATATGTACTGAGAATTATAATAGGATTTGTGGGGTGATATGGATGACATGCAACTTATTATCCCTGCTCTAAAGTTCCAAGTAGTGTATGCTTTTTGGGTAGAAGAAGCATCAGTTAAAACGTAAGAACAAGGAAAGACATTATATAATGGCCTCTGACAAATTACAGAACTTTACTAATTATTTTTCCCTCAAACATTTCATTTGATGATGAGTTCAACCATCAAGAAGAAAACAAGATTTACTATACCAAAGCCAAAAAAAAAAATAAAAATAAAAACAAAACAAACCTAGCAAACACCAAAATGAATGAACATTTAGAAATGTTAAACAAATTCCCAAGCTCAGAAGTATTTAAATTAGCCAGTATTAAAACTTAATTTTTATGTTTCTGTTTTTATTTCTTTATTTCTGTTCTATGTATTTTATTTCAAAGATATTCATTTGTTAATTAATATAAAATAAATATATAAATAGTAGGCATACAGTGAAAGGACAGGAAATAAAAACTTGAACAGTCAAAAAAGAATTCAATAAGATGGAACATGCTCTAGAAATTGGATGATAAAATAACTTTACTTTGAAGAGCAAAGATTAGGGATAATTCTATCATAAAAGCAAAAGTATGGAGATCAGGATAAGACTCATTAGGGAAGGGTGCTAAGGATATTCTCCTGATGGAATGAAGAGTTATAAAAGGGTGGAATGGTAGCATAAGGTGGAATAAGTACTATGATCTTGTTGGAGACCAAAATGTCATGGGTAATGAGGAGGCAGTTCAATGAAGTTTCTACCAAGTATCACAATGCAGATTCACTAACATGAAAGGGAGTTTGTATTTAGCACAAACTCTTTGGTAACTCTTATAGTAACTAAGATATTCAATGGTAAGAATCTAAACAAGAATGTTTTGTCCACTAGGGAGAGACATAGATAAGATCATTTTAAAGAAAAAAACAAAAACAAAAACAAATAACCACACAGGATTTAACTAGATAAAGAGGATGAAGTTTCCCTTCCTCTCATTTTACACCAAGATTCTGAGCCTGGTTTCTTATTTATGGAAAGACATGGAAGGGTATTTTAGACAATTTAAAACAGGAGCTATGTTTTTCAAAAAAAAGGTTAGGAGAAAAAATACATTTTGAAAACATTTTAATCTATTTGCTAGTATTATCTCTAATGGCTTACTGAAAGTTGGAAGCACTGGATTGGAAATAGAGGTAGAAGTTAGTTATGGTGAAGAGGACATAACTCACATGGTGGTATTAACTATAATTCAGAATAGGTGATGTGAAAAGGATAGTCAATAGGGTTATGGCTAATGGTGCTCAGTAGAGGCCCACTTTCAGGTATTTGGAGTAGGGAAAAGAGTGATGAAGCAGAGGATACACAATAGGAAACTGAGAAGAAAGATAACCAAATAGTGGAATGTCCTAAAGATTAAAAATAAAAGAAAAAGAAGAGGATTTCGATATAGAGATAGTCAATGGAAGTAAATGTTCTATAACTAAAGCTGGAGAACTAACACACCCCATGCTGTACTTGGTGTTTAGAAAGGTTTTGATAAAAGTGATTTTGGGAGAAGATTGCACCAGAGAGCAAGAGTGAAATGGGTAGTGAGGAACTAGTAGGAGAAAAATCTAAACTCTAAAATATAAGTTGCAGAAACCATAGCTGTGGGTTTTTTATAAGATAACAAAGATAAGAAAGACAATTTGTGTTTAAGAGCTTAAGCTCTGAAGTCAGAGATACACAAATCAGTGCTCTCCTTCTCTGTCCCTTCCAATATTCCAGATGGTGATCTCGGACTAGCTGCTTAACCCATTGCTTCTCAGTATCCTCTACTGTAAATAGATCAACTGGGTTCTAGTTCACTGTCCCTAGAGGAAGACTTTGAACTAAAAAGGAAAGCAGAGTTTGCACTACTGGGAGTAGGGAGTGTAAGGAAAGAGTAAAGTGGGTATAATTAAGGGGAAAAGAGGGGAATTTGAAGAGAGCAAGTGTCTCCCTTCCAACTCCTAATTCTGGAAAGCCCTTCTATTGAAGATAATAAGAGAATAATCACATTGCTAACTTTTTTTGGCCACTATGCACACAAAGGAAATGTTTTCTAAAGTACAACTGTATGTTCAAAAAATATTTGATGTGGCAGAGCCTGACTAAAAAGAGTATACTAATCTATGGAATCATATTTTTTTATAAATCGGTTTAGGAACTTAGATGTGTAGAGTAATGGTTCCTCTGAATTATTCTTGGGTGTGTGTGGAGAGGGAGGTCTTTTCTAGTTGTTGCTAACAACTACTAATAGGGGGGAAATATGCCATTGATCTGGCATGAGAGGCAATAAAACTAAATTATCTAGTAACTCTCAGCTCTTATATTTTCCTTAAGAATTCCTACAAAATAAAATAAGTGAGAGTCTGCTATGCTTTCATTGATGAGTATTAGTAGAACTTTCTGTAAACAATCTGTGTTACATTTAATGCTTAAATAATTCAGAAAAAAATTAGCTCAGTTTCTGCCATGATAAGGAATTTACTATAGGAAAGACAAAAATGTTTGAAAAAAATAAAATTGTTGATGAGGACCCTGTGGAAATGGAAGCATTAATAAAAAAAAGAAACAACAAGGAAGTACATCAGCTCCAGAGTAGTACTTCAGGATATGGAAAGAAATAAAAGTAAAGGTTACAACTGATAAACAAAAGAAAGAGCAATGTGAGGGCGCAATCCGTCTTAATGATTTTTTTTTCCTGAAATTTGGCCACTATGACAGTGTTTTTACTGCCAGCTTTAACCAGTCTATGCCCATCTCCCATGAACTTCCCCTGAGCTATGATAACTTACTGCTTTCAGGCCTTCATATGTAAAGTCAAGTTAGAAAAGTCCTAGGTTATGTTGGTGCCCAAGGCACTTAGGAGAGCTAGTAGCATCAGGTAGTACCACAGATAGTGCTTGGAACATTTATTCCTCTTCAAGGCAGAAAAGTTACAAAGGCTGTTAAAAGTTAAAGAGGCTGTTAGTCTCTTCCATATCCCTTGAGGAGTGGCCAGGGTTTGTGATGCCTTGGGAGATTATAGAATCCCTGAGAGAATAAGATTGGGAAACTAAAAGTGACAAAAACAACTGAACAAAATGCCCCTTCTTTCTTCCTGCACAGAATCATTTTTAGCAAAAAAAAGTCCTCTATTCAATGGAAATAGCTAGATGCATAGTGAGATTTAGTGTGGTGTCTGAGTTAGGTTATGTTTGCGTGCATGAATGATGGGAAGGGTGTGAGAATAGGGATAAGAATTTATTTTGAGTTAAAAATTTGTATTTCAAGCATCTTCTTTAAAAAGGGCAATGTCATCACACTCCTAATATGAAAAACTATTTTTAAAGAAAATATAAGAATATAGACTTTAGTCCAGCCAGATCAATTTTAATATAAGTTAAAGCATTCTAGTTAGTTTTGTTTTGAATGAATAAAAATACTACAATACTGTCGAATGAACACTCTTCCAAGCAAACAAATAAACAAAACTATATCAACTCTGTTATCTAGGAACTGTATACATAGGATGTTAAAATAAAAATGATTGTAGAAACCATCATGTAGATCTGTTATTAATAGCTATGAGAGTTTGAGCAGGAACATACATTGTGCAGTTCATACATGTTTGTAGTGAAATCAAGAATATAAATCCAAGTTTCTTGACCAAATTTACCTTTGAGAGCCAATGGCTGCATTTATTATAAAGCTTAGATTTTGCAGCTAGACACCTGGGGTCAAAATTCAATGGGACTCTACCACTTACCTTTACTGTAGTTTAATTGATTATTTAAAATTGCTATGCTTTGTTTGCTTATCTATAAAATAGGTATTTGTGAGTAATATGTTGTTTGTGAGTAATAGGTTGTGAGTAATAATGTGTAACATGTAAAGAATATAGTACATTTGACAATGTTGAACTTTACCTACAGCCTGTGATCCTGGAAAACAGCAACCTCCCTTTGTGTTCAGGGAAATTGT